GCACCGTAGTTCCCGTCCCTGATTTCGGCGGTCAAAGTGTTTTTTCACTAACGTTGCTGACGAAATCGAATTTTTTTAGTGTTGAGGGAGCACCGACAAGAAAAATTTTCAATTGCTTGCAATGAACAGTGAACGATTCATCAAATGAATTTGAACTATCAGCGTAAAATTCATTTTTCCAAAAATAGAAATCCACTCAGCTAGGTGCGCTACAAACTTGGCCTGTATCTGATTATTGGATTCTGTTGATCTGCATCGATCTTGAAATCAAACAACAAGGAAAGCTTACAATACGATTGTCAAGTCGTACGACGTGCAACCTACCGGGCTTGAACACTACCTTCAAGAGGCATCCATGAGAGATTTCTCCCGCCATCTTCCAAGCATTACTTACCGTCGATACTTGCCGAACTGTGGTTGTGACAAGAACACATTCCTCAGGATGTACACAAAGTTATCTTGTGTGATGAGCAATCCAGATTGCTTGGTGAAAGCTAGATAGGTGCGTAACCTGAAATTGAAAACTTCCGCCTTTGTGGGTGATTTTAGCAGCTGCCTTCTGGCGGTTCCAACTTTTTTTTAAACGAGAATGCCCACCAAGAGTCAGCTGCACCAGTAAACTCGGTATACTCGTAGAGCTCAATTTCCTTATCCAGTACTGTCCATATACGTCTGGGACCGATGTCCACCTCTGACAGATTGTACATCCATACATGAAGAGTGCTACCATAGTCTGTAAAGTTATCGTATCGTGCGTGACTGGGATCAGTATAGCAAATAAATCGAGAAAACATTTTCGAAAGGAAATCCTGGACAAAAAGTGAATTACAGCCAGCTTATTTGACTCACTAAGCATTCGACTTCTTTCATTGAGAAAAAATTCAACTGACTCTCAGGTTTATGTTTTCACATTCAGTAAGACTCTAATTTGAGCAGCTTGGTCTAGAAAGTTGAGGAAGTTCTCTAATGTGTGGGTATGAGGTAAAGGTATCGTTCACAATTTATATATTGCTGTAGTGATATAGGGAAAAGCGTGTACCAGCAAAATATTTTTCAGCAAGGCGAAGTGTTTGCTTCCCGTACGAGTTGTCCGGTAGCAAATCGTTTGGTTCGAGTCCCAGCTTTACCTCCGTACATCCCCAAATCGCTACACCCTGCAACGAATTGGGTAACATTAATGAATGAGGCTATCAAAGGGAAAAATGGAACTTACCAGGTAAATGAGGAAGCAAATGATGATGAGGACACGTACGAAAGGGTTGAGAAGGATGTCCGAGTAGGTAGTGCGAAAGAACTGTGACAGGAGATGATTCTTTTCAAAACTACGGTCTTGGTGAGTGCTCTTGGACTCATCTGAAACGCTTCAAACTCTCGGCTGAAAACAACAATAGTAAATAAAAATAGAAATCAAACCTTTTTTGATCTTCATAAATGTAAGGCAGTTTCTGTTATCCATCTCACGACGATTTGTGTAGACCATGATACCGGCAAAGAATGTTAGCTGGTAGACGTATGTGAATAGCACTGCTGTCACCGCATATGCACAAAACATCTGAATCAAGATGAACTTCTGGCACATCTAGCAATAACGGTTAAGTAATGGACGAAATTCCAAACGGAATGCCGCCTGGTGATACTGATACAACTAGCTGAAGATGACTTGAGTGTGCAAAGTGACACTCCCTCTATACAAGTACTCCTCAGTTTCGGGTATAGGTAGACAGACATACGCTGATGTCTGAAGCTAGGACTACCACCTTTTAGGACCTTTCAACCTCTGTACTCTGAGATGGTATGGTCCTGACGGGATGAAGTATCCTAGTTTCAACTGCATTGCCAGGTGCTCACCTGACCCTCCAGTTCCCCAGTCTTCCGGAAGAATGACTTACTTGAACGCTCGGGAATGGTGTTGCACATCCGACTGCAAACGAAATGAAATCCGTCAGTGAAGTGACCGTAATGGAGACACCTGCATCAGCAAATGTTTCCTCCATGCGTTTTTGGAGCGACAAGTGTGTTGGTGATGATCGCCATGCTGACAGAAGTATAAACACATTGTCCACGCCAACAGCTGAAAGCGTATCAGTTATGGAGGAAGAATCTTCAAACTACAATTTGTCGTATTGCTTTACTCCGACATGCTGAGCAGATCAAGCTCAGGAAGCATCCATATATTCCCTTCCATTGCTATTTCTTATATATTTATTATATTATTTATTATTGTTCAAGTACATCTACTTATGCCCGAAATTATTATCGATCAAAATTGGAAGAATCCACTATTGATCTCGAAGAGAGCAAGAATTTTTGACATAGTCACGTAAGCCTTTTCATTTCCTCTGTCACAATGAGCACCCGGAGGAAAAAAGACCCTTAATAAACTAGATTACTTCTGCGTTCTGGTTCACCATCACAAATGACATCTGGTTCACTCACATCAGGAGAAAGGCGGATTCGCTAAGGTAGGTAGAGTCCCGAGTATGGCAGAGGTTATTTATTTGTCTTGGATGCGCATTGTATCTTGAAAACGCGATCCTCTTGGTGTTTGCGTCGGAGCTCAACTTCTCACCGTCACTGCGTAACTAATCGTATCTGTTTGCGTACACTGCAGCCATCTGCACAATGAAACACTGACCGCCGCAGCTCGGACACAGACAGCCGCCTCACACGTCGTCAAGTGCGGCTACAGTCACAGTGTGAGCTCCGCTATGTCCTCACACCCATTCACCATGGACTTGAACTAGCGGGTCATTGTCAAGCTTGTGATGGGAAATTCGCAGCAGGAGTGTATTTATTTTGGGTAGGGCTTTCCATGAGGAGGGTCGTATCCAGGGAAGTGGTAGAGAAGACTTGCCTTTCGAAAGATTGAGGACAGATTCTTCAGACTTCGATCCCTAGCGTTCCTGAAATGGTCTCCCCGTATTCAAACTCCATTCGGAATCGTAGTGGGGTTTCGAACGCGTATGTGGCTTATACGAAGAGGGTGGTCAGGTCAGAGGTTTCGTCTTCACAGACGAGCCTGTACCTTCTGACCGGCGTTTGTGGGATGGAATGCTTGGCTGAAAAGTCGGATACTAATGTGCTCGACCTGGTCCCGATATCGAATATTTATAA